AGTTAAAAGCACTAAAAGAAAATGTCTTCACCCAGTTTTGTCTTGCCCACAAAACAGGGTGAAGAAATCTGAATTCATTTTTCTCTCTGTACTTGTAAGAACAGCCCAAGGTTAGGAGGGAATGTTTTAAGTTACAGAACATTTGCAGAAAAGGTTCCTTCTTGCATCTACTGTGTTTAATTGGTTTCAACTGTCCAATCCAGCTTCTTTTTTTCTCATCTGTGATGTCTTCATTTTGATATAACTGGTCTATTTGTTTAATAACTGCAGTACTGATTTCCATCCCCCCTCAAACTCTGCCTGCCACCTATCTATCCACCCCCACTCCGCCTCCCCATCTCTAATCCTCTTACAGTGCCTTTCCTGGGAGGATTACACACAAGGAGGGGAGAGGGTCTTGTTCTCACGTCTTTCAGCCCTGCACAAATGACTCTGCAACCTGTGGTAACAGATAACACTGATCCAGTTGCTGCTTCCAGAGAGACCTTACATCCATTGAGCCAGGAATTGGGTTTGGCTCCAGCCCTCCACAAGAAAGTCACCACAGCAACCAGAGTGGGGCAGATCTTCCAAAGCCTCCAGCCTTATGACCAAGCCAAGCCTAATGCCACCCAGCAAACATGAAAGAAAGGACCCTGAGATGGACAAGACTCAAAGACTCCTTTCAATCCCCAGAAGACAGCTGGAAAGACTATGGGAGAGGCTGGAAATTCATTGTAAGGTTTTCTTTCTTGTCTCATTTATGTTGTAATTAGTTAAACGGATTTTTGGAGGGATTGCATTTGGGAGCGGTTGGCACAGCAAGTTCTGAACACCTTGGACTTCTGTCTGGTGGGAGGAAAATGTGTCCATCATGTTTGCATTGCCAGTATTGTAGTTTTCGCTCTGTGGGAACTAAGAGCCCAGTCATATCTCCCTGCTAATTCTATGGGGAAGGGGGCATCCCCTTCAGGTAATTCCCTCACTGAAGTAGCAGAAAAGAGATCTCCAGAACCCAAGCCCTGATTGTGACTCATAAATGATGCTGCCCAGTTACCCAGTAAAGCAGGATATATTGCACTGGTGGTCTCATTGGTAGAAGTCCCAGGGCTCATTGTGCCCAATTTGAAAAAATACTAAATAGCCTGGATTGCACAATGGCTAACTTCAATTTGGCCTCAAAAACCTGGATGCAAAAAAAAACTAAAAATAAAAAAGCTAGGGCAGGTTCAAGAAGCAACCCTTGGAAACAGGCAGCCTGTAGTTATTTAAAGAAAAGCTATGGCTGTAAAGAATTTTGGGACTTGTGCTTGCTTGAAACCTGACTGTAAGCTCACAGAAAGTAGCATCAAACCTCTGAAATAATTGGCATAGAAAATTGGACATTGTAGATTTCTTTCCAGAACTTTTGCCCTGGCTGCTAGACCTTCACGGGTTGAAAGCTCTCCTTTTGGGAGCCACTGAAGAAATCCTTCTCCACTGCCTCTATCAATTCCTTCCCCTTTGTATCAGAAAAATTAAAAGCATCCATCAAGTATCCCTGATCTGATCAATTGTTTTTAATCTTTTGCCAATAAGATGTGTGTACCACCTGCATATTGTGGCAAAAAGGGGGGATGGAAGAAAGTTAGCACCCACCCTTCCTAGAAGAACGAAATATTTTAGAAAATTATAAAAAAAGGCAGAATGTTATATTTCTCTGGATGAAAAAAGGAGAAACAGGTTTTTGAAGACAAAGAGCAGCTCCCTGCCCCCAGCAGATATTTGATGCACATTAAGACTGGGTCAGCCTATCTAAAAAACAAAAGGCCTCCAGGTCCCTGATGTTTCCTTGGCAAGATTTTTTGAAAGGAAATTTCAAAATTGGGGGCAATATGCTGACTCTGTAAAACTGCTTAGAAAGGGATGTAAAACACCATAAAGTGGTATATAAGTCCAAGTGCAAATGCTATTGCTATTTTATTGATAGGATATCAATAGCTGGAAATCATTTAGGGCTGTGCGCACAAACTTCACAAATATTTAAGGCGCAACACCTCCCTAATCTTGAGAAGCTAAGTAGGTCAATCTTCACCCTTCAAGGTTCACTCAGTTGCAAAAGTAGGTTTCGGGGAGTTATCATGCACTTTCCCTGCAGTTTCCTTCCAAGGTTTTTTGAAAGCAGATTTTCCCTTTCCAAGGCCTGAGAGGACAGGACAGGCCAAGGTCTCTGTGATGGCTTTGTGCCTAAAGCAGGACCGGAAATGAGAGTCTCTCAGGCTCACGGCTTGTGACCACCAAACTGGGCCTTCTTCCTCCCCATAAAACCTATCCATTCAGCTGTTCCTGCTACTCCAGCCCCAAATTCAAGGCTGTAGCTTTCAAAATCCAGTATCCTCCAAACAACACATACTTTACAGCTTTCATTCTGAGGTTCAAATTTCGATTCTGAGGAAATGGACTGTTCGTCTGAGTGGGGACTTATGTCTTTTGATCTTGCCCTGTAGATAGGGGTGGGCTTCAAATTTGTTAGCAAGGGGCTCTCTGCCCTAATGACTGGCTGGGTGGGCATGTGACTGGGTGGGTGTGGCGAACTTGACATTGCTTTTAAATTTTAAATCACTTGGACTTAAGACTCAGGTCAAGAGCCTCTTGGTTTTTCCACACACATTATCTCCACGGTTGAACTGGTCCTGGTTGTTGCGTGTCCTTCATGTAATGAGAGCTACCAAAAGTTGTGAAATGAAATGAACAATCTTGGAATTCTTTAGTGACTTCCAATCCCAGAAAAACCAGGATCATTCATCTGCCTAGCTAAAATGTCACTTTTGCTGCTACCAATTATGTTCCTCCCCATATTTGAAGGGTAATTTTTTTGAAAATAACATTAAGGAACCCTTAGAGACAAGTAAAAGAACAGGAAACGTGTTCTGTTTACAGAAATACTGATACTTTCCTTTATTTGTCTTACTCAAAAACTATACAAGATTCTTACACAATGCTGTTTTAGAAATTAAACCTTATCTACTGTACAATTTTTCCCTCATATCTACCCACCAAGGGGGGGAAACCACAAAAGTATTAGTCCCTTGTGCTAGTCTCACTCACAAGCTATCAGAGGCAAACAAGGAGACCCCTAAAACAAAGGAGATCATAGCAGGAGTTGCAAATAATCCTGTGTTCAAAACCACAATCCCTTTTCTCCTGAGCTCAATATTCCTACAGCTTTTCTCCATGAAGGCCACTTGCAAGGCACAACTTTTACACTAGTTTTGTCACTGGCCCAAACTCCCCCAAATATATTTGCTATTCATATGGTTTCTTCCACTTGCGTGCCTCATACTTGACACAATCTGAACAGACATGCACTGAATTCCTGGAACTTTTGAAAAAGATAAACTTTAAAACCCTTCCATTAGTCTTCTCCTCTTGCTTCCTCCTTATACGAGGAGCCACAACCTCTAACTGTAGTCTGAGTGCTCCCCAGGGGATGCTGGCTGGAGAATTCTGGGGCTGCAAATTTTGGGGGAACCCAGGGAGAAAAAGGCTGGGATTCAGTACGTGGCATTTCTATCATCTACCATGATAAAAATGCAAAGAACACTCCCAAAAAGATTATTACATCATTACACAATTTCTACAAAAATTAATACAGGTAATCCCAGGGGTACAATTGTTCCCATAGCGAACGTTCGTTACGCAATAAGCTCCCCTTAGCTTTTTCCAACGAATGCCAACATTATGGATATTGGAGCACCACAGCAGTTGTTCACCCTTACAAATAACTGCAGAGGCTTGGCAACATTCACCTCGCCTATTCCACCACCCCCACTGGGTCTTCACAGACACTGCAGAGAGTCACTTATCTTGCAAAGACCTCCTCTCTGTTGCAGTTTCTTTGCCCACATTTGCAGACAACAGAGGCCTAACGTACTCCAAGATCTTCTGTAATCTCGCACTTAAGACCTCTATTCTCTGCAAATTGAGACCTGGACATTTGCAAATGGAAGGAAGGCTTCGGTCCTTCAGGCCTTTCCTCCATCTGCCAATTCCTTGCCGAAGCCTGCAGGGAGATTGCGTTCCTGTAGGCTTCAGCAGCCCTTTGCAAAAAGCCTTTGTTGGCACCAGCAGAGCTTGGGAGGAGGGGGTGCATCCCTCTGAAGCCCTGTTCCTATTCTACAGGCAAAGGTTTTTTGCAAAGAGCTGCCAAAGCCTACAGGAACGCAATCCTCGAGCACTTTGCCAACAAGAAAGTAGCCTCGAGAGGCCATGTACAGCTTCTCAGGGTTGCTTTCTTGGCGCCGGAGGCCTTGTCAGGCTGATCTGGGACAAGAAAGCAGCGAATGCAAGAGCGGAAGCAGGAAGTGATGTCGTTCAATGTATGAGATTCACTCCCACAAATTCTCGAGTTACAGATGGAATGGGCAGCATTCATTACTTTCGTAACCTGAGGACTACCCGTATCCAGCAGCTTCTGCTTCTGATGGCCAGATAAGCATTATCAAACTAGTATGTTGCAATTTTTTCCTTCCTCCTTCCTGTCTAATACCATAACATATTTGCCTACCAAAAAAATGGGCAAATTCTTTGTAGACAAATTTAACAATCAATATATCAGCTGGACTTACAATGGGACATTAGAAATGAAATTCAAGCCTTCTCTACCCTCATCACTTGGAGCATCAGGTGGATTTTTTTGTGTGCAATAAGGCTGGAATGTTTCCTGAAGCACTATCCAAACTCATGGCACTCAAATGGTTTTCCCCCTGTGTGCATAAGCATATGATTTAGAAGGCTAGTCCTAATATTGAAATCTTTCCCACAGTCTGGACTCTTGTATGTTTTCTCTCCTGGGTGAGTCCTCCGGTTGCAATTCTGACTGAAAGTTTTCCCACAAACAGGACATTCAAACGGTTTCTCTCCCATGTGAATCCTGTGGTGGTTCACCAGGGTGGAATTGTGACTGAAACTTTTACCAGTCAGGACATTTAAATGGTTTCTCCTTAGTATGAGTCCACATTGCCATGTTCGCTATAAAGCATTTACCACATTGGGAATACTTGAAGGACATCTCTCCTGTGTGAGACCTCTGGTGCAAGAGCTGGGATCTCCGAGAGAAACTTTTCACTATCAGGATATTCTAAGAGTTTCTCTCTTATGTGAATTCTCTGATGTATCACCAGGTTGGAATTCTTCCCAAAACTTTTACCACAGTAAGGACATATAAAGGGTTTCTCTCCTGTGTGAGTCCTCTGATGTTCCACAAGGTGAGAATTCTGATTGAAACTTTTCCCACAAACAGGACATTCAAACGGTTTCTCTCCTGTGTGAATCCTCTGATGTTGAATCAGGCTGGAATTGTGACTGAAACTTTTACCACAATCAGGACATTCGAAGGGTTTTTCTCCTGTGTGAATCCTCTGGTGTTGAACCAGGCTG